TTGCGGAACTATTTGATGACTATAACAACGGCAAGATTTACGCCCTCGATATCATCCAGGAAATCAGGTGGTCCTGGGGGACCATGGTCGAAGTCGCTATAAAACAGATGGCTACTGCCCAACTTGTTGAAACCAGCATGCGGGCAACAGGTGATCTGTAGTTTCGCTTGCCCCCGAAGACTGATGGAGTTGACTGACAGCCTGAGCCATGCATTTTATCTAAACGAGAACAAAGAGTGGTCGATACTAAAGTCTTATTGTGTTGTGTCGAACACTGAGAGGGCCAGGTGGGCAGAAGGATCAACAGCAGAAGTGACCTACAATGGCATTGTGTCGTTTGGGTCATGTAAAACAAAAACAGTGGTTAAAATGGTGGCTGGTAATTTCGGTGAAATTAGCGGGTTGGGGATTGCAGATGGTGAAGTGTCGGGACAGAACCACCTAACTAGACTCGTCCGAGGGGTGGTGCTGACCTTGGCAGCTGACCTGAGAGGGGCAAAAATTACTTTAAAAGTAAAATAAGAGGATGAAATGGGCATGTTACAGTCCCAAAACAGTTGAACAAGTATCCAAAGAAAAGAGTGCCACCGCGATATGGTGTAGCTTACCTCACCGGGAGGTATATGCTTCTATCCTACCACACTTGGTGGTGGAGGGAATGTGGAAGGGCTCCCTAATAGGACCGAGTGTCTTGAGATACCCCATGATGCTGAAGTGGTGTATGTAGTGGGGCCAGGCGAGGCCAAACTCTCTGATGTATATGTGGATAGTAATGAGATCCAGGTGGCTCTAGCTACCTATGCACAGAGAATGGCCTGTGAGGAAATACTTGCGCAGGCGTTTTGCATCGGGAGTATGCTACTGCTGCATGATTGTTGGCCTGCTATCCACTTACCAGTTAGTGTTTGTTCTGCTGACCTGGTCAAGCCGGAAATGCCTACAAGAAATCATATTAAACTGCACAAGCGGTCGTGGACCTTAGGTGAGGCCATGGTTGTGAGCAAATACTGTGCTGATGCGATAGGGCTTGCGGTCAAGGAGCTCATCTCATCTGGAGGGGACCGTAATAATGAAGAGATTGAAGACACAATCGCCAGGATGACCAAAGGGCATATTATGAAGAGGCATGAAGTGTATCGTTGGCTCATAGAGAACGTACTAGGTGAATCATCCGGATTTCTGTTGTATAGACCCACTCTCAGATCCCAGCATTGATAGGATCCAGGAAATTAATGACACCAATATCTTGAAGTATTGGTGGTTAAATGATGTCAAGAAAGTAGGAGGAGGTGACTCTGCATGTGGCGCTGCTATGTGCAGTACCTATACATCCGTTCCTTGCTCTGGACTGGACACAGCCTCAGCTCCTGTATTGGCATTCATAAGGCAGTTCGGTGTTCTAAGGATGGGACCACTTTCCTCATTTGACCAGTCTGAGAAGATTCTGATTGAGGGGATAATCAAAGAAGGGAAAGTATCTATTGTCCCAAATGGCCTCTCTGCCCCTGAGAGACGACCAATTCGGTCGCCACCTCCCGTTGACAGAATGGCAAAAGGATCCAGAAGAAGTGGATGAATTCAAATATGATGACAGTGACGATGAAGATGATGGAGATCAATACATTGAACCCCTCTATATTAGTGAAGCTAGTAATGTTGAAACAGAGACGGAAAGAAGTGTGACCAAGATGAAGGAAATGAAACTGATAAATAATCTATGAAACAGCAGCCGGTGAGGGTCAAGAAACCTAGAATATCAATGGTGAAATTGGAGTAGGAAAATCAATACCTTGACCATATATGTGTATGTAAAGTTTCAGTTAAATATATGCCATCAAAGGCAGATTCTGGTGAAAAAAATATATATCTAGAAAAATCCCAGAAACCATGCTGTAAAACCTTCCAAAACTCTCTTAATGGGAAGATTTGGACATTCAGTATACCTTCCGTTTTGAAATATTTCTTCGCTAAGTTTTCTATCCATTAATCTTTCTATTAAAGCAAATAAAAGGTAGAAAAATGCTCTAGTTTTTAGTCTTCCATCAATGGCTGAACAACCAGAAGGCATGGTAATTATCATTCTCTTCTTATACATACATACATACATACATACATACATACATACATACATACATACATACATACATACATACATACATACATACATACATACATACATACATACATACATACATACATACATACATACATACATACATACATACATACATACATACATACATACATACATACATACATACATACATACATACATACATACATACATACATACATACATACATACATACATACATACATACATACATACATACATACATACATACATACATACATACATACATACATACATACATACATACATACATACATACATACATACAGACAGACAGACAGACAGACAGATAGATAGACAGACAGAAACTCTCAATTTTCTTGTAGATTTTATTTCTGCAATTGGATACTGATTTTCCAGGATGGCAAGCAACAATGATAAAACTTTTCGAGTCTATTCAAGGTTTTGTCTCTTTTGTATTTATTATTTTTATTTATTTAATTCAGATTTTATTTTATTTTGTTGGGGTGTTAATGGTTTTATCAGGTGTATCATACTGCATTGACGCACAAACAAGGTTTGCACATGTTTCTGGTACAATTAACAAAGTTCTTCTGCTGAAGTCGCTAGCGAAATCCAGCACACTTGCTTTTACTCATCACATAAACTATGGAATCACTCTTCCAAAGCACACATCAGAGCCTCTAATGGTAAACCAATCTAGAAAATTTCTTTACAACCCCATTTTTTTTCATTGAAAATAGTTAGAAGAACAGCAAAATTTTGCCTGCAGAAATGTTTTTTGCTAGTGGATACAGATATTCCTAATTGGCACATAGGAAAGTGTCTTTTATTCAAGTCTATGGAAGGTGTAACATTTAACATAAATGCATTTACAAGACAAGCTTATATTTCTGGGAAAATAGACCCTCTGCTACAGTTGAAGTTGCTAGCGAAAGCCGAAGCAGCCGGAGCTCGACTTTGCTGGTTATATTATGGATGCGAAGTTGATCCGTATGGGGGACTAGTTCATAATGAACCCGAGCCTAAGGATGAGGCCATGAACAATTCAGCTACCACCTCCAAACCCAGAAATTCCTTTTGCTGTTTGATGTAAAGTTTGTTTGGAGTTTTAATTTTGTTGTTTGAGAAGCTGGTGTTAAAGGTTTCCTCCCATTTTTGATGGAGGAAAACACAGTAGTTTCATTGCTTTGTTTGTTCTAAGGCTGGCTTACAGAGTTTTATGATTGGCAGCAGCCAACAGAATTATCAATTATAAGATGTTTTTTATGCATTGATGGTGACGTTTTTGGATTAATTTAATTTCTTAATCCTATTGAGAAAACTAGTATTTTATTCGATTTTTGAATTTTTTAACTGTATGTACAAGTTCTAGTTTTATCTCACCATCTCAAACCAATCAAGCGATCTCCGAGATTAAATAGAATATTATTCTCTATTGAGATCCCGGATTCAAACAATGTGTTTGTAGGATTGTTTGTAGGATGTGTGTGCGTTCATTATCAATTGGTTGAAAGAATTTCAAACAAATATTATATTGTAATCATCACATGCTAATAAAAAAGAATATAACACAAACTCAATCTATCAATTGTGAAAAAAATAAAAATATCTCAATCATAATCTAAAAAAAATCACCTGAATATATTAGATGCTAAGTAGCTAATCAATTTTGAAATGGCAACATATCCAAATAATAATTGCAATAATTTTGATATTAACAGGGTAAGATTCCATGGGATTTAGCAAATTTCATTTATTTATTTCTAAAATATTGATGAAAATCTTAGTCATTGAATAATGGAGGAAATTTCTCCAGAATTCCATCTTAATTTCTTGATCTCCTTTGATACACTTAATTACGCTAATTAACTTCTTTAACATGATTAATCCACCCTCTTAAACTTTCTTACCATATGATAACTATTTTAGTTTATATATATATATATATATATATCAGTTAAATCTAATTATCATTTTTGTTCATTTCACTTTTTTTTTTTGTTTTCCATTGCCTACCAGGAACTTTCTCTTTGGCTTCAAGGCAAAGAAATAACAATCTCAGTTATGGATCACCCAACTGACTACATGGTTACACCCAAACTGTTATAGTTATTTCTCTAACTAGATTCAACAATTCCTTTTAGAATTACTAATTAATATTAGTCTGATGGTTTCTTTTGGATTCTGTTTTCAGATCAGAACCGTATTCTAAGAGTCATATTCGATTCATCAGATGACGAGTGATGCTTGTCAGGGTCTTGGACAGCATTGATGGTTGTTCTCTACTTGTTAATTTCTTGAGGAACAAGTCACTTAATAATGTTTATTTTTGTTTTGATTTGTGTTTGTATTAGTTTAATTTGCATTGGTTGGTTTCCTTTAGGAATCACTTATAACATTGATGGAGAAAAGGGACATGTCCAGATAACAGGAAGAATAAACCCTAGACAACTTATGAAGACACTCGCAGAAGTAGGGTTACATGCAGATCTTTCTCGGTTGAGTTCCGGATATGGAGAGATGAGCGTCCCTTCGAGACACGGCTATGATTACCTGTACCATGCCCACTACGAATATAATCCCTATGGAAAACCACACTATTATCATGGCTACCCTCCTCCTCAACAAAGAAATTGGCACCCGGCACCCCACATATGAAAACTACCCACATTACCTGGATTATAATCAGCATTATCCTTCCTACGAGCCACAGGCCAAATACTTTCCCCAGCCGACGCCGCAACCAAAAGGCTTTCGTAACGGTGACCCTGAGTGGTGCACCATAATGTGAAAGACATTATTTATTTGACCTAAGGTTCTTTTGCAGGAAACCTATGTTGTCCAGGTTTTTTTTTTACCATAAGTACCTGTTAATGTTCTGTTATAGTGGATGTATGCAATAGAATCAACCAACTACAAGCTTTAATTTCTTATTTTTCCAGAAATGGCATGATCTATTGATTCTCACAATTCATTGTAGAAATCTGAAAAATAACATGGACAGATTCACAAATCAATGTATTATTAGTTCATGTCTGAGAAATTTGTGTCTCACATACGGGAGAAGTTTGTCAGAGTTACCGTGTGCTTCTCATTTCTGTTTCATGCTTTCCTTTATCGGGATGGGGCAGATCATAAAACTCTGCCAAGTAAGCCAAAGCATCAGAATTAGTGTTACAGATCTTCCACAATGACGAAATCTCTCCCTTCGAAACTGTACCCCAGTGCTCACAATTATCAAGAAAGTCCAACAGTTTTGCATAAAATGAGTCGTAGTTCATTACTATGAAGGGAACTGGAAGCTCTGATCCAATCCTTTCAAGCTGAATCAATGCCAAAATCTCAAACATCTCATCAAGAGTACCAACCCCACCGGGGAGAGCAACTACAGCTGTCTTATCAGAGTTCGAACTCCGAACTGCAGCATCAACCAACCCATGCTTTCTAGCAGAGAAAAACCTGCATTTTTATTTCAGGATCATTCAAATGCATAGAATTAGAACGGTGTAGGTAAACCGTTAGAATCAGTAACATTCACCTGCATGTAAGATAAGTTTCCGAGGGCAGGTATGGATGAAAATTTGAGGACGTCCATTCTCCAGCTTCCTTACCTATCTTAAACCCACCGACCGCCTTTCCTACTTCCTGAGCACCCTTAATAGCAGCATCAATGAGGCCAGGACCAGCCCCCGTCCACGTTGTACACTCCAAAAGGTTAGCTATCTGCTAAGCAGGAAAACCACACACATAAAAAGGATAAGAGAAAACAGGAACAAACCACTAGGGAAAATTGTTCCAAAGTACACGACTTTTGCCAAAAACCTTTTACTGATATCGATAAAAGCTCTATAAATTAACTTGCCTCTCTAGCAAGCTCCTGCGTTTGCGAGTAATGTGGATGGTCAGGTCCCATCCTCGACGAACCCAAGTACACAACTCCCCTCCCAAGTCTGTGTATGAGTTCATAGCATTGCTCTATCTCTTTTCTGACCTTTCAAATGGAATTAAAGTAGCAAATAAGCTTCTCATTCCACAGCAAACACACCAATATATCCAAGTCCCAACATAGTACATATATAACAAGAAGAAGATGACATCCATTCTGATAAGTTGAAATTAAGCATCCATGAAAGAATTGGGAGCAAATCAACTTTTATATCTCCAAGAAACACATCAGCTAAGAATGGTAAAATATCCTAACCATCACAAACAAAGCAAAAGCCATAAAATATAACCAACATGGATATTTGCTCCGAGATCTTGCGGGAATAAAAATAAAATCAAGTCTAATTTTCTAAAGCAGCTATTAAAATCAAAATCTATGGCCATCCACAATCAGCATTCTCCAGGCTATCCAACAGATTACCTCATTTGGGCTAGTTCTTTCTTCAAAGTCAACAAACTCACTCTTGCAAAGTGGAAGTCTTGCAAGTTTATTATAAGCCCTGGAATTCTTAACCAGGTTGAAGCCAACAACAAACCTCTCTTTCAAAGTGAAAGATTGAAACTTGGGATTCCAGTGACGGGAACCTCTCACTGAAACATAAGAACCCGAGGTACCTAACAGTGCAAACCCCATCAAAATACCCTCTAAATGTATCCAAGGCTAGATTTTGCATACACTGATCGATTCAAGGAAAGTGGTTATGAGTTGTAACAACAAAGGTAAAAGGGGGAATCAAATTGTTATCCTAAAATTGGCAAGTTGTAAGGGCGTTTGGAGAGATAAAGGAATAAATTTATCCCAATTTGCTTTGCTTGTTGTTGCTATTGTTGAGCAAAGTTGGGAGCTTTTAGTTCTCAATCTGATGAAGACAAAATTTTGCAGAAGTATCAAATATACAACATCCCTTAATCATAGTTGGGCTCAAATGGATCAAATCATGAAATCCGAACACGTCTAAAAGCTGTGAACTTGTTTACCCACTGCTTATTTTACTCCAACATAAACCCAACCCAAATAGGACATTAAAGTCATTTCGGGGAAGCTAGGGTTTTTGTGCACACCCAATGCTCACTTCCGCCAATCACTTCCTCTGAACCCCTAGCTTAAGCTTTATCACATAGATTTGCTTCAACACTCGAAATCCCAGGAAAAGGCTTGAGCTTTCTCTCAGTCAAAATGGGTATTTTTCAAATTTCTCTAATAATTTTTCATCAATATGTTCTAAATTTAATTTTCTGCTTAATTTTCTTGCTTAATGAGTTTAATTCCATTTTTCTGGTAGGTATTTCTCGTGATTCTATGCACAAGAGGCGTGCCACTGGTGGTAAAAAGAAGGTTTGGAGGAAGAAGAGAAAGTAATATGCAAAACTCTTCCTTATTTGTTGTCCTTCGATTGCTTTCTTATAAATTTTTATCTGGTTAGATGCTTAGAAAGTTGATTTAGAATTAATTAAAAAGTGGGGTTATGTTCTTGTAATTTTCTAGAACAAATGCTGATTTTGGAGCGATTTTATTGAGCTTAATTGGGATTTATTTGTTTTGGTACTTGATTCAAGTTGCTTATCATTTCATTACCATAAAGTATGCTCTTTTTATTATTATATGACTGTAAAAGTTGAGCTTTTCTTGTTTGCTTAGATGCCAGAAACCTTATCCTGTTTATTTGTTACCTATTGGTTTGTATCACTTGATTTTTCAATCTAAATTTATCCCAACTTTTGATGGTTTATTTGAAAAGGTATGAGCTTGGAAGGCAACCGGCAAACATAAAGTTGTCAAGCAACAAGACAGTCAGGAGGATTAGGGTTCGAGGTGGAAATGTGAAGTGGCGTGCTCTGAGGCTCGACACTGGAAACTTCTCTCGGGGAAGTACTCAAACTTTGGTAAAGAGTGCTATTGTTCAAGTTGATGCTGCTCCATTCAAGCAATGGTTATCTCCAGCACTATAATATCGACATTGGTCGCAAGAAGAAAACAGCTGCAGCAGCAGGCAAGAAAGAATCAGAGGTAGGAGGAATTTCTTTTTCAACTGGATATTATTTCTTCAATAATATATCAGTTCATACATTGATTAGTTACTTCAACAACTGATCTGTCTGAACTCGGTCCCTTACCTTTATCGAAATTACATAGCAATCTGGTTTACACCTTTAGCTAGTCTTCAAGTCAAGCATAATGATGTCTCAGGTTCGCTTAATCCTTGACTGGCGATATTGCTATTTACGATTTTTTACATTGTCTTGCTCCATTTCGTATATAGGAAGGTGAAACTGCTGCTGAGGAGGTGGTGAAGAAGAGCAACCATGTCTTAAGGAAGTTGTTAAAGCGCCAGAAGAATCGCACCCATCTTGAGCCACATATTGATGAGCAATTCGGTAGTGGTCGTTTACTGGCCCGTATCACTTCGCGACCTGGTCAGTGTGGCCGTGCTGACTGGTATCTAATTTCTTGATATCAGCTTTTAACATTCACTAATCTCTTGGGATGAAATGCAGGAGCAGTAACAATAACTTCTATCCCTCGAGTTCTAATACGATGACAAATTGTTTTTACAGGTGTATCTTGGAAGGCAAAGAGCTGGAGTTCTACATGAAGAAGATCCAGAGAAAGAAGGGGAAGGGTGCTGCCTAAAATTTTGTTACTCAAGTTTCCATATTTCAGATCAAATGTCCTTTTATTACCTTTCTTTAACCCTTTTTTCAGAACATTTTGTTTGAATTTATAGTAGTTAATTGTGCCTTATTCAACGGTGTTATATATATACCTTCATCTACATGTTATTTTCCTGGGAATATGGGAATAGAAAACAATATGACATTATCAGACCCAAAATTTTTCTGTCTCTGAATAAATGAACAATGCTGTAGTATCAATTGCCAGCCAGAACTATCTCGACGTCTCCTTTTTTTTGCTCTTTCCGTCCCTTACGGCCAGCTATGAATTTGAATGTAACACCAGCAAAAGCTGTAAACAATCTCTTCTATCTTTGTTAGGTAAGTGTCAGAAATAAAATCTGGAAAAAGGGTAAGGAGAGATATATGGTAGATACAAAATTTCTTAGCACCCAAGGCTCCTCATTATCTTGTTAAGCCGATCAATGACAACACCCGGATTAGCATATGATCTATCAAGGTTAATGGCCTGATATTCCAATCCTTTGCATTGTGCAATCAATTGAAAGTGAGGCCGTCTAAAAAAGCTGCTAATAATTTCAAGAATTATGGTTTTTGGTGTTGCAGAAACTGTGTGTTAGACCGGCACCCGGCACCGTGTGCGCAAATGATAACAGAAGCATCCTGAATGGTTCGGACCTGTTCCTTCATGGACATGTGTGCAAACAACCCATTGACGAGGTTTACTTTGCATTCCCGATGAATCGATGCCCCTCGACAATCTCTGTCTTCACTAAGCCCTTTAAATATTGCAGTCTCGTACCCCAACGGTGGTAAAATAGCATGGCGGAAACAGACCGGACCAATAAAGTTTTTCGCATATCTAAGGCTTGAAAACAGTGCTCTCCATGTTTCTTCTAATTGTGTCCGGAAATATTCAGCCAAGAAGGAAAAAAAAAACATCAGCTATTGTAGGATCATAAGCATTTAATAGACAGACAAACAGGTGTTCAAATTATGCACAAAAGCGGCTTCTTGTTGCAGGCATATCAAAAACGAGAGTCGCTGATGATACATTGAGCAACTAAAAGGAAGATCGTCGAGAAACACTCACTAACCGAAGATTCCTTCCGATCCTATCTTCAAACACTCTCACTTCATTTCATTCGGACCAGAAAGGACGACCGTCCAACATGAAAACATTGATATTTTTCTCATTAATTATTGTACATAATGAATGGATAAACATGGCAATGAAAGAACGATGATATTCTAAAGAGAAGAAAGGTGACATTAATAGAGACCGAATATGGACTACTGAGCATGTATACCTCACAATGACCATCCACAAAGACCAAATGCAGCTGATTCGGCAAGCCGGAAACCCTAGAATAAACATACGCACTGTACCAATCCGACACGGTGTGGAAAAGGTTTGAATACTCTAATCTTGTTATCAGAAGTGTAGGCTCCTCTACCCACTGTATCCAAAGCAAAAACCAGAGGAACTAAAAATCAATAAATTGGCATAAGGTTAGAATGCACACAGTAGAAAACAAAAATGAACTGGATCGGAAGAAAACCGAACAAATCAACTACCAGGCTAATTCAAACTAGTATCTACTTACAAATTATATCAACATTCCACATTCAAACCAACTGATTGCAAACCAATATCTGCAGGAGCACAGGTAATCCGTGACCGGCATGACTTAAAATGCTGTGCAGGTGCTGCCAATCTAAAGACAATCAGACATTAGACCAATAAAACTAACAGATCAAGCTAAAACAAGCTAGTTTCTCCTGGACAAGGCACAAACAGATAGCCTAAACATATATTTTGACATACGGACATGCATTAAATTATAACCCATATCTGCATAAGCATTAATCTACTTCCAAGACTTCCATTAACAGCCAGAAATGGCAATTTTCATCAAGCATCAAGACCGATCAACCGAAATCAAAGCTTCAAAAAAAAAAAGCTAATTGAGGAATCTAATCTAACCTCTTGGCAAGTAAAATCACTTTCATCCATAACAACAATAGACTTCACTAATTCCCTCATGGTATGCTTCAAAACATTCCCAACAGGCAAGAATTGGTCCAAAAACTCACCCCCAACAAGCTTCTTTCCCTTTAACCTCGGTCCTCCTCCTTGAACTTCAACCTGTAAAGCTCCATCTTCGAACTCAGGCAATTCTTCTTCTTCAGTTCTCCCAATAACATCTTCCAGCTTTTCACCTCCTCTCGACATCTTAATCTTCTCGGGATCGATCCTTATCTTCCCACCTTCACAGACCGAACTTTTCAAGGTCTCGGAGTAATGACACCTGAACCAACTCGACCCTGAACTCACGGTGGCTTTTGGGAACAGAACATCAGCTACCTTTGTAAACCCATTCCCGAAATAAGCTTCGCATGACTTTGGAGCTGCGTTGGAGGTCAAAGACCAGGGAAGATACGATCGGATGATCGGCCAGGGCTTCGACAAGTGAGGTCCACGGTGTGGGATCATTCCGGGAAAACCCTCAGCCGTCGTGTCGCGACAGTTTTCATCAAGGTACCGGTGGTGGTTGTGGTGGCTGGAGGCGAAGTAAAAGTAAAGAGAGATGGAGTTTAAAGCAAAGAGAGCTAAGAGGATCTTGAGAAGAGTCCACTGCTTCTTGCTCATGACTTTCGCGTTTCTGAGATGTCTCGACGACTGTGTTTTACTCAAAACAGAGTTTGTTCAAGACGAGTAGTTTGAGTTCATGTTTTACGTTTTTTATCCGACAAGTTTCGGTAGTTTCTTGGCTTCTGTTATTTCTCAAAGTTAAAAAGTGAAGATGAAAGTTGAAAATCACAATTTTTTTACCATGATAAATTTAAGATCATATAGAAAGAGAAATAATTTCTCGAGATTAAATTCCAAATTTAATGTTAATTAAGATTAAAGTGATGTTGTTCTCAATACACCAGATGCATGCTTATTAAGTAATGAGCATATTTTGTTTAAGTCCCGTAATACTCTTTTTGAAATTTTCTTGACTAAGCATATTTTGATTATTTAGATGCCAAAGACCTTTTTGTTTAATTCCCATAATACTCTCTTGTCAAAATGAACCAATTGGTTCTTAGACAACAAGAAAACAAGAATCAGAACCCCAACGTACGACCAGATTCAGATCTCCAGTGTCTTGCTTTCTCGAATCCGTTTGTGTAGTTCTCGAAATCGTCGACTGTTCGATCGATCTCTTCTTGAGTGTTCATCACGAAAGGTCCGAATTGCACCAACGGTTCACACAATGGTTCACCCCCTACTAAAATAAACCTCAGCAATTTAGATGACTTGTTCCACGCCTCCAGGCCATCCCCAGGTCCTAGAAGCAAAAGGTGGTGCGCGTTCACCAGTGATGATTTCGACCGGCCGAAGATACCCTCTCCATCCAAGACATAAACAAAGGCATTCCACGATCCTGGAATCGGCTGTTGAAGGTAAGCACCCGGTTCTAGAGTGAAGTCCAAGTACATTGTTGGGGTTCTGGTATAAATTGCAGACTTGGTCCCCAAAGCCTCACCGGCTATAACTCTAACTTTGATCCCATCTCTCGTAGCTTCCGCGATATCCTTACTCGATACTTCTTGATACCTCGGCTCGATCCTGCAAAATGAAGAACATTGAGATTAAAATGGGGCTCGAGTTCGAAATCAATTTGATAAAACATCCTCATTGAACTTACATTTTGTATTTGGAGGAGAGATTGATCCATAACTGGAGACCTTTCTGGGTTCCTTGAGCTGCAGGCATCTCGGAGTGAACAATGCCCCGTCCCGCAGTCATCCATTGCAGATCGCCGGTGCCAATGGTCCCTTTATGCCCTTCAAAATCTTCATGTTTAACTGCCCCCTGATAGATCAACCAATTGTACGCCTCTGAAAGTAAGTTTTTTTTATACAATTTACATGAAAAAAAATGTTGCTTGAGTGATCAAATTCAGTACCTGTAACATGTAGGTGACGGTCTCAAATCCTGTCAACACAAACAGAGAGCATATATACATAAGAATCAACATAAATTCCCAGAAACAGAGTCCACTTTCTCGAGAAAATTAAAATCAAACCTCTGTGTGGATGATCTGGAAATCCAGCTGGTGCTGTCACTGCAATATTCAAAACCAAAACCTCAACATCAAATATCTATCTATGTATATACATACATCATGAAAAACAGAGGAAACTAACCTGAGAATTCATCCAAAACGAGGAAAGGATCAAAGTATCTCAACTCAAACCTGCAAAAAACAAAAGATACCTTTATTCCAAACATCTGAAATTCATCAAATTTCCATTCTTTTTAGTCGTTTACCGGCCTATGCTTCTTCTCACAACTGCTCCAACTCCTTCGGGTTGTGGCCTAGCCAAAAACTTCCTCACCACTAACCTTGGCTCATTCAAACCAACACATGAACCCTCTTTCTCAGGCATCTTCTCTCTTCTTCTTGTCTGTTTATTTTCAGCAGAAAACCAAGATTCTACGAGTTTTGTGAAGAATTCAAATGAATATATAAGGAGAAAGCAAGAAACAAAAAAACAGTGTTGATAGTAAAATATTTTGGAAGGTCATAGGGGAAGTGTTGCTGGAGGCCAAATAAGACCCACATGGGACATGGAAGTTTCCCTGAGCTTAATCGGGGACGTCAGCATGACGTTGCCATGAAGTGGCGGTGATGCAAATTTTGATCACGTCCATTGAATGATCAACACGTGTAAAATCAGGGTCCATTCGATTGTCCTAAGAGGCCTTCCAAAGGGGCCCAAGCCATGAATGAATTTGGTGGGCAAATTGAAAGTTTTTAAAACATGAATATGATTATCGGTCCACAAAAGCATATTCTTATTGCATGTTTGTTCTTTCTTCACCAAAGCTTTTAGGGCAGCGGCTGTTAATAAGTTGGCCCCAATTTATCTATCCTTTTTAATCCGAATAATATTTTGAGTTCAAATCTTATAAATAAAAAATAATTTAAAAAGATTTATTTAACTCGAAATCTTTATGATAATTAAATATCGAAACCTTTTCAGAAAAAAATTATATATTTTAAGTGACAACATGCAAACATAATAAACTTGTGTTATTTTATTATATAAAGAATAATTATAAACATTAGCCCAATGAGACCCAGCATATGATGGGAGACAACGTGGTTTGATTCCTACAACAACCACAAAATTAATTTTAAAACATCATCGTAAACAGTATTTACAAAACCAGTTTTACGAGAAAAAAATGAATTTTTTTTTATTTGGGGTGTTATGGATTTTATTCTTTTATAGATGGTGAATGTTATAATATTTTGAGAAGACGTTAAGATTATCAGATGTCTTCAACGGAATATATAAGAAATATACAATATTTTTCTCTTATTTGTACGTGGAAGACGTCGAGTCTTTCATAGATGTTCATTCGAAGACATTGGACAATCATTATACAAAAATTCAATGTTTTAATGTCTTGTCCAAACAAATTTGCCTAATTTAAGGAGGAAGGGATGAATGACATCATTAACGCAGAAGCATGACACAATCTTATTGGATAATTAGAAATTAAAATGAAAAGCAAAACCAAAGTCAATAGCTTATTAGGAGAAAAAGAAGAAGAATTAAGTTATGGTTGTAAAGCGTAGCAAGTATCTGTAAGGCAACATAACAACGTGTAGACTTTTGAATCATTTGATGCTCTAAACACCGAAATAACCACTCCCTGTTTCAATCTGATGATCTTGTCATTACAAAACCATGATGATTGCACATTCTTATTACTCTAATTGTGTTTCTATATGTTTTACCCTTTTTAAATTAAGTTTTGTTCTGTATTGCAATTTGTAAAGTTTATTATAATCGTTAAACTTAAAAAGTAAATGGGTAAACTACGAATTTAGTCACCACATAGTTTTACAATTCTATTTTGGTCACCAGCAATTATTATTTTTAAAACATACTTACCATTACTTTTTGATCATCTATCGTTAAAAAAATTAATTGTGACGTTGATGTGTTACTAAACAATGTCGTCATTTAAAAGAATAAAAAAATTATCACGTCGCAGTTTTATTTATTTTTTAACGACGGATGATCAAAATAAAATAAAACTATAACGTTAAATATAATTTTAAAAAACAAATAATTTAATAATCAAAATTGAAATACATAATTAAATACGTAGTTTAGTCAAAATTATTATTCATCTCATGTTCTAATAGTTTATGACACTAAATCAATTTAAAGAAAAGAATCATGTTTTTATAGTATTGCTATTATATATTTTAAGGTATTTAAATGTTAGGCATTGAAGTAAGACATCATCGGTAGGGCGACGCGAAACCCTAAAAAATCTTTCTTTCTAGCCATTTGTTTCTTGTTTTTGTCATTTTATTTTGTTTGGTAGACAACAACACGGTTGTCACTAGCAGTCTATATTTTCTATTTTTCTTTATTTTTTTATATTACATTTTTTAATTTTTAATAATTTTATCATTATGATACATTTTTATTTGTCTTTATGACACTTTTTTTTGTCATTTGACATGTTTTCGGTTATTTGACTTTTTTTTCAGTGTTGAATTTGACGATGACTTTATTGATCAAGATAACTCTTATTTGTTATCATATTAATCTTCTCTGCTTTTGACCCTCATTTTAGATTTGTATATGCAGCTTGCGTTCGAAAATAGTTCTCTTACGATGCTCAAATCTTATTTACAATTGTCGGTGATCTTTCAATAATTTGATCTTTTGTTGTGGTTCGTTTGCTTATACAATGAGATATGTTCGTATATATCTTTTTGTCATGGTGGCAAGTGAAATGGAGAAGAGATTTGGGGGAGAGATGGAATTAGGGTTCAGAGAATTGGAAACTCAGAGGTTAGGGATTTAGGAGAAAGAGGAATCGATTAATTTACCTGATGGGAATATAGTTCTGGAGCAGGCCAAAGGAGATAACAAGCTGATGGGAACGTGGAATTGAAGTGGGCCAAAGTAGAGACAAAAGCAATAGCAGCTATTGAAGACTTTGAGTGATGGCAGCCCAACCATGAAGCCCAAGAAGCAATCTGTTGAAGGAATCTAACAGAAAGCAAACAGTTAGACTACAAGACAAAAGTAGTGACAGCTGTAAACAAACAATTGGATGTTGTTATTAAATATATGTAACAAAATTGTAATTGAGAATTATGCTGAAATTTCAATGCAATTCTTCATCTTCAACTTTCTTCATTTCTAAAATCCCCAATTCTCTTATTTTTCTTCATTGAAATTGTGACACTTTTGTTTGAGTTTTTAAAATGAACTTTCAACATTTATTTTATATCGTATTTATATGATTTCAAGTAGCTAATATCTTTTGTTAATGATTATAAGAATATATTCTAATTATACGATCATTGTAATATTTAATTTTATCTACCTTTTAATAAAACTAGTTATTTTTATTTGTATACAAAAATGTTACGGAATCATTCAAATTTTCAGTGTTTGCAGTTCATTTATTTTGATTTTGAAAGGTTTAGATATATTGTTTCATATTGTGTTTTAATTATTTTATGTAACTTTTAAATCTAATTTATTATATTATAATGATTTGATTTTAACTTTATATTTATCTGTCGTCTCATTTTTCTCCATTCATGAATAGTTCAACCTTGATTAACGTTCAACTGGAGTTCAATTTGAATCTTAACGAGTCAAGTAAAATCCAACTTAAAATGTTATGCTCTGAAAAGTCGAAATTTGTTGGAGGCTTATTCGGGTCCTTATTTTAGCCAAGATCGAATTCAGAATCTAATATCAACTAAAACCACAGGTTAAGAAGTGTTGGTGAGATGGGATTTGATCAATGGCTATGATGATAAAACGAAGTACATATAGTGGAGATTATGATGGGAGACCTTTGATCAAAGGCAAATAGGAGAAGCAAAGGTAAAACCAGATTCGAGGGACCGATATGGAAGCAGGTGAGGTTAAAGGGGAACAATGTCTGATAAATCAATAAATAATTAACACAAATGAATAATGACGGATATCTTACACAAATCAAATACGAAATGCGTCCGTTAAACATTATGTAGCTCTCAAGAATTATGTGCTAAAAAAAAGACAAGCGAGAAGAATAAACATACCAACAAAATTATTAAGTAAAGAATTAACAATGCTGTTGGGGGGGGGGGGAGAACTAAGGAAGCGCGGGCGGTGCATTCCTGCAGCAAAACCTTTAAGCTACTCAACATCCAAGCAATACGATGTTCAAAACAGTAAATATATGGCGAGAAGCACAGCCATAAGTGGTATAATGACAGAGGCGGCAACTTTAGGTTGTCCATTAGGTGATCTTGGGGCTGATGCGGTACCGGATTGAGTAGACGTCGGGGTTTTTGCAGCAACGGGCGACAAAGGAGGCTCGACAACATCTGCCTCAGTCAGGTAGGGATTTGGAGCGTCAGCTGGTGGCAAGTACTCAGGTGTGACTAGTTGCAAAAGGCCACCGGGCTGCACAGGAGTCATGTAACCGGGAGTTTTATTACCTCTATCCAAGCATCGGTTTCCTACAATAAGTTTATCACGTCAATAACATTCTGTAACCTAGTTGATATGGAAAAGCAAAAAGTTTTATAGTTTCAGCATTTAGCAGTTGCAAAACTCGACCAGTAGGCGCTTACTCCGGTATCTATCCGACGTCTTTGGGAAATCTGTAATGACACCATTAATACCAGCTCCCCCATAGAAGGAATTGACCTCAACGGTTGCATCAGAGAAGAAGTCCCATGCTTGAGCTGTGAACTCATTACTGAAGGTTTGAACATATACGCTGAGATTAGCAGCCTGTAGCCTTTGTACAACATGTGTTGTACCAGCAAGGAATGCTGAATTCTCAGGAAACACGGAGTCCTTGCTAATGACAACTGCGCTGGCAAATCTCTTAATGTCTTCAATGGTTGAACTTTGAGCACCACCAATATCTTCGTCAACCTTGTAGGCAAGCTGATAGTTGGTTTTACCCTTCAACTTCATTAAAACAGAGCTATTACTGGACTGTATCATAACTTTCTGATCTGTTTGCTTATCATAGCCAGCTTTGCTCAAGGCATTAAGCACTGCATCGGTTACGGCAAATCCCTGCTCTGCGAGGTAAGGAGCATTCTGAAAGGAATAAACAAGTCTGAACTGTCAATAGTCTTCAGAACAACATGTTCATGTGATGTATAAGGGAAAAGGTCATGAAGATTATTCTCTTCGGTATCTACGACAATTGCGACTATTAGCGATTTGAGGGTTAATCAACTTGCATATAACAAAAATCTACTAAAACTGAGTTTCCTACTCCCTAGAAATATAATTTCGTATGGATTCAACTGGCACAGATCCCAATTTGTTTCTCTCTATTTTGTTTATTTATCAAACGAGTTGCATCACAAACTCTTTCGGCCAAGTCAAAAGGGATTTGGATCACGCAACTCTAATCTAACAAGTAATATACTTCGGCAACTTGAAAAACAAGAAAATTGTTTTCAAATCTTG